GGTACAAGTTACGTAACCGTCAAAAAAGACTTCTGCGCCAGCTTTTGCGATTGGTAAACGAGAGGATTCCAATTAAATCCTCTTATAGCAAAAGGATATAGCGATGGATATTATAATACAAAAAATATTAGATGTCTCATTCATGGAATTCGTTTGGTGGAGTATATCACATATTTAAGTTTTATTATGTGGACGTGAATTTTGTTTAATTATCTATTAACTTGTTGGTTATTGATTTGATTCTTTTAATGCATATGAAATTTATTTAATTATTTAAAATTATAATTTTTACTCTTTTTTTTAATTATATAATAGTTTTGATTAATTTTATTGGCTAGTCCTTTCCAATTCAAAGGTTCACACAAATTAACTGTCTAGAGAATCACCAGTATATACCATGCTTCAATCTTAGGTTAAATTAAATTAATGCCCAAGAGATCAACTTTAACTAGTCTGAATTAACTTTAAATTACGAGAACAGAAGAATCCTCCTGGATATTCTTATTTGAGTATTTTCTAGGCAGCAGAGATTACAAATCGGCTGTTTATCTAGATATCATTATCATCAACTTGTCGCTTGCAGTTCCATTGTCTTCATGTCCCCATTTATACCCTGCAATTTAAAAAAAAAAAAAAGAAAAACCTTAATTTTTTTACTTCTATTGAATATTAATGGATTAAAATTTAGATCAATTTAAGAAATTTTAACTAAATTTCTCCCACTTACTCATTGTACTCGATTTGGATTTTGCCTGCATTAGGGTCAGCAATCATGGCAAAAGCCTCTTGAAGGTCAAAGCAGGCTACTAGAAGCAAAGCGAGCCAGGTTCTCTGGACGTGGTGGCATGGTAGAGGACTTTTGACTTTGACCACATTATCCTAATCTTTTTGCACTGAAAATAGGCATCATCCGATCATGATCTAGACCTGATCAGAGTTTTTATACATTTATGATATTTTCTTGTCTTAATTCATTTCGTGGAAGGAATTCCCTACACTTGCAATTGAAAATTGTGTGGTTAGCATTAGAGAGAAGTCTACGTGTAAGGAATCTTTTAAATGTTGCTTAGAAAACTTACCCGGCTTTGCAATTTTATTTATTTCGATGAAATATAAATTTTTAAAATTTTAATTTAATAATAAATTTAAATTTTTTAAAATTTCGTTGTTTTTTATTATTTATTTTAAAAAATATAATCTTTTGAAAAACTGATACATTGTGTTATTCGATTGTGAGTGAATATATGTTAGATTTTTTGGTTTTGTTTTTCGTTTTGTTCAGGAAAGAGTATAACTCTCGTAAGTAGGAAAGGGGAACAATCTTAGATCGAAACCAAGATTTTTAAATTTCTATAAAACCTCTTTAATCACTAAATCAAAAAATAAAAAATATTTTGATTTATATTTTAAATAAAAAAGTTAATTTTAAAAATTTGTATAAATTAAATCTAAATCTAATAATACAAATATGATAATTCAATTTATTGATACAATATTTATCGATTATTAATATTAATCAATTATTAAATTCAAATATATTTATTCATAAAATCAAATTTATGTTTTATTAGGTTGTTTAGTTTATGTTTTATTAGTTGGCTTTAGGACAAATTTCGACCGAATGCAATATTTTTAGCAAGATTAAACAATTCCCATTTAATCAATTTATATTGCCTCTTGAGCATTTCTTTCTCTCATGTAATCTTTTCTTTTCAGAAGAAACACTTTATTATTGCGTGCTTAACAATCTTTGTTTTTTTTTATTAATTATGAAAACAAGTAGTTAGTCATAATTATTCGATCTTTGTTTTTTTATAAAAAAGAAACTAAGAATCAGGTGAAAATTTTTGCCTTTGTGTTAGCAAATGAATTGAAAAACTTTTTTATTAAAGAGAAAGAATGACTATGTTTCTTTTTCTGAGAAAAAAACTTTTTATGAATCATAGTTTTTTTTTTTTTTTTCCTTTTAAATTCTCCATGCGTAATAATATGGGTTTTATCTTAGAATGAGATATTTATATTTGATATATATGGAGGTCCAAAGTCATGTCTTAATTAAAAAAAGTTATATATCCAAAGTTCGCTAGCGTGTAAATATTTTGACGACTATTGTACGGTAGTTTGTAATACCAAGTGTAATTCAAAGTTCACTTACGTGCCTTAGCAAGTAAAAGTGTTTACTATAATTTTCAATTCTTTTACGTTTTCATTTCATGATTTTTCTTTTGTTTATTATTATATCTAAACACATTGTTTTATATGAATACACATATATTGAGTACGATAAATAAAACTCTATTCTACTTTTTACCAAAGAATAATAGAAAATATATAAGTTAAGAACATTCCTTTAAGTATGAAAACTTTCAGATCGCATTGTTAGAATCATGCCTTAAATTATAAGATTTGCATGTGAATATAATTTGCCCATTTACTTTTGAATTTGATCATAATTCCATTCATATTCATGATCTTTTTTTTTCAATTAGTGTGAACGTAATCTTTTTATTTCAGCCAACCTTATTTATGTGTGGATTTAGACCAAGAATAGGCCTATCTTATTTTTGGATAAATCTACCTTAATCTCAACCCTTAGTCTCAACCCAAATTGTATGACGTGCAGACACTCTGGTATCATGGACATTATTGGTTGAATATAAATCTATAAGGATCATTTGTTATAATGTTTTTAATATATCATGTTGAATGGATAATTTAAGTTTGTAAATTGAGGTATTGGTTTAATATTATTGATATATATTTGTTTTATATGAATACACAAATATTGAATACGATTATTTGAAAAAAGTATATTAATATGGCAACGTCATTAGTTTTAAATTCGAATGTGTGATCAATTTATTGAAATACAATAATAATATTTATAATGTAAATTTCAAAATGTAATTCATAGTATCATATATATAAATCAAATGTTTTTTGGGCATAAACGTACAACTGATTTCACATATATAATTAAACCAAAGTTTTTTTTATAAGATTATTGAAAGAGTTTTTAACCAAAAAAAAGCCTTCAATAATCCCTAACAAAAAGTTATTGAAAGCATTTTTAACCAAAATCATCTTCAATAATCCCTAATAAAAATTTATTGTGTGGATTATTAATGACGTTTTGGGCTAAAAATACCTTTAAAAATCCATTTCAACTTTTTTGTATGAATTATTAAAAGTATTTTTAACCAAAACCACCTTCAATAATCTCTCATAAAAATTTATTGATTGGATTATTAAAAGCGTTTTCGATCAAAAATGCATTCAAAAATTCATTTCAAATTTTTTTTATGGATTAATGAATGTGTTTTTCTACAAAAAAAACGCCTTAAATATTCTTTCTTTAAAATTTTTTAAATAGATTGATGAAGGTGTTTTTACTCAAAAAATGCTTAGAATAATCTCTTACAAATAATCTCTTCAAAAAATTAAAAAAAAAAAACTAAAGAGAGGGATCGAACATACGACCTTATGGTTAATAATCGTATAATCTTTAAATTTTGATATAATATATATTGAAGTGAAGTTTAGTAAAAAAGATAGAAAAAAAAAAAAAAAAACTAAGGAGAAGTGAGTGAAATGTTGTTTCTAAATTTTTAGAGACCAAAATTTCGCTCCCAATCACATTATAGATCTTTGTAATTTATTTTAGAAAATCCAAGAATTTCATTAATTGACTTTGAAACTAAGAAGGGATGTAGTAAATAGGTTGATGTAGTTAGGCGATATAAACGGCGTTGAATCTACGACCAAATGATCCAACTTTTCGTGCTATTAGTCTATTATACTTTGTCATGCTAGTTTGTCTTTCTTTTTTTTATCAATTCAGTTAATAAAATAGGCTGAGTTTATTTAAAATTTTTTATTATGTAAAAATTTCAATAATCGTCTATATTTTTTTATAAAAAAATTATTCAAAGCATTATTTATCAAAAATACTTTTAATAATCTCTTATCTATTTTTTTAATGAGATTATTTAAATTATTTTTTATCAAAAATATTTTTAATAATCACTTTAAATGTTTAGAGAAATTATTTAAAGTATTTTAATAAATAAACGTTATAAATTTTTATCTTAGATGATATTTATAAATAAAAATATTATTATTTAAATATTTAATGATATTTTAATAATAAACTCTTTTAATTTTATAAAAATACGAAACTAACTGCTTTTGTAAATAAAATACCACTATAAAACTGTCAATATTCTTCTGTTTTTTTGTAGTGAATGCTTCACACGTTCACCGTTAATACATTTTATATAAGAAGAAGAAAGAAAAAAAAGAGAGAGCATTCTTGGTGCATACCGAGTGTAATTAATTCTGATTTTGCCTGCATCACGGCTTGCAATCTTAGCAAAAGCAGCTCGAGAAAGGTCTACTCATGCCAAGCGAAGTACTTTATCAAGTCATTACATATTTACTTATTTGTTAATTAATTTCCACTGAATCGCTGTGCACCCAAGTCTGACGCTTAATCGACTAGGTACAAGTTACATAGCCGTCAAAAAAGACTTCTGCGCCTGCTTTTGCGATTGCGAAACGAGAGGATTCCAATTAAATCCTCTGATAGCAAAAGGATATAGCGATGGATATTATAATACAAAAAATATTAGATGTCTCATTCATGGAATTCGTTTGGTGGAGTATATCACATATTTAAGTTTTATTATGCGTGTGAATTTTGTTTAATTGTCTATTAACTTGTTGGTTATTGATTTGATTCTTTTAATGCATATGAATATTATTTAATTATTTAAAATTATAATTTTTACTCTTTTTTTTAATTATATAATAGTTTTGATTAATTTTATTGGCTAGTCCTTTCCAATTCAAAGGTTCACACAAATTAACTGTGTCTAGAGAATCACCAGTATTTACCATGCTTCAATCTTAGGTTAAATTAAATTAATGCCCAAGAGATTAACTTTAACTAGTCTGAATTAACTTTAAATTACGAGAACAGAAGAATCCTCCTGGATATTCTTATTTGAGTATTTTCTAAGCAGCAGAGATTACAAATCGACTGTTTATTTAGATATCATTATTATCAGCTTGTCGCTTGCAGTTCCATTGTCTTTATGTCCCCATTTATACCCTGCAATTTAAAAAAAAAAAAAAACCTTATTTTTGTGACTTCTGTTGAATATTAATGGATTAAAATTTAGATCAATTTAAGAAATTTTAACTAAATTTCTCCCACTTACTCAGTGTACTCGATTTGGATTTTGCCTGCATTAGGGTCAGCAATCATGGCAAAAGCCTCTTGAGAAAGGTCAAAGGTTCCCTGGCACCCTGGAGGACAGTAATCCACAATTTTTACGACAATAGAGCCACCCCGGCAAGGGTGTGGCACGCCAGCGTTGGTGGCTCCGGTGCACCTCACACTGTACCTTTTATTGCATGCTGCCCTGTTGTTCCATATAGCATCACTCGCTGCCGCGATCATAACTCCATCGTTTTGAAATCCATTGCATGATGAAGCTGCATTTGCAAACAATATTTAACAAATTGTGCAATATTATTATAGCATATGCTACTGGTTGAATGCAAATTTTTGAATGGGCACTAAACAAGGGTCACTTCGATCTCTTTAATTTTGCATGCAAAGAGACTGGGGGTATATACTTACGGACATAAGGAGGAGTATAGAACGTAGCAGTTCCTTGAATTGCAGATGCAACCGATACAAGGGTTGCTGCAGCCATTGCCATCATCATGATCATTACCGCAGCTCTCGCCCCCTCAGCCATATTTTTTCCTTAATGAAGTCTTAAATGTTCGTTGTGCAGAGAAAAAAGCTGGTATTCCCCCTTTATTTATAGGTGGAAACCTTGAAAACCAAAGGGTCATAACTCTCATAAATGGTCAATTCAATGAAAATTACTCTCATTTTACTGGAAATATTGAAGTATTAGATGTTTGGAAAGTGTACAGGAACGCTGCAGCCCTGATAGATCAAAATTTCATATTAAATATCTAATTTAAAATCAATTAAATGTAAGTAGAAGAATTCAATTTAAATATAAAATTACATAAAATTTAATATTCATTAGATATAAATAATCCATTTTAATAAAAATTAATATTTTATATTAAATATTCAGCTTAAAATCAATTGACAATAAATAAAAAAATTTAACTTAAATATAAAATTACAAAAATTAGATACTTATTAGATATAAAATAATTTATTTTAACATGCCTCATCATGTTAAAATAAATATAAAAAAAACTTATTATGTGATAGATTTAAAAATGATAATATAAAAAATTTTTTACTTTGATAAGATATTAAGTATTTAACTCAAAATCAATTAACATTAAATAAAATGACTTAATCTGAATATAAAATTATAAAATATTAAAATTTTATTAAATATAAAATAATCTATTTAATATTCCAAATGTTACCATCGTGAAAAAGTAAAAGAAGACTTTTTCCGTCGCCTTGCAATAGCAATTGCCAATTACGGACGACCGTCGATAAGAAGACTGTTTTTGACATCAAACTGAGAGACGTTTGAAGATTATAAGCCTCCAAATACAAAATTTCTTACTTGAAAGCTGCCATGAAAAATTTTGATTTGAATTGTTGTCTCTCTCTATCCCTACCTTTCCCTACTATATTTCATTTTTACTCGTTAACCTTGGAGGAAGGAGAGAGATTGATTTTACTTCAAGGGAAAATTAAGAAAGATAAATGATTATTAAATGATTATTAAATGTTAATAAATTTTTGTTTATATTTGTACAAAAATATGTTTAAATGATAATATAAAAAATAGAAAGTATTCACACAAGTATTACGTTTTTTTTTTTATTTTTGAATTAAAATAAACTTATAATATTTACATTTAATCATTTTAATTTAAAAATTAAAATAATATGTAAACTTACATTAATATAAATGGATACTTTTCATAAAAAAATTATGTTACGGATATATTTATGAAAATTATTAGATGAACACATAACAATTATCTAATTTAATTGTAAAGTCTTTTAATAGTATATAGAATAATAATTTTCGCAAGATAATTCTTAGAAGACTGGCTTTTTAGGCAAAAGCAATCGTACATTTACAGTAAACTAATAAATAATAAAAAAATGTGGATATAATTTTTCATTTTTTTATGAAAGTGACGGATAACAAATTAATAAATATCCTACATTTAGAGTAAACTAATAAATAATTAAAAATGTGTGGATATAATTTCTCGTTTTTAGAGTATCATAGTGTATAAACCGGTATACATGACCGCCAAACACAATTTTAAGAATTGTCGTTAATTTTTTATTTAAATATAATTGATAATTTAATTTAATTTATTTTTTATTTTAAAAAAATATCTCAAGTTTAATTTGAGTTTTTTAAAAGTATATATTTTAATTTATAAAACTATGTAAGATTCGTGAATATAATTATATATAGAAAAAATTATAACATATATATGATATTCATTCAAAAAATAATATTAATTGATTTTGTATTATTTAAAATCTCTAAAAAATCTTATCAAAGTACATTGATATTAGAAATTTTTCTTATATTATTTTAATATGTTGATAAGAGGCTTCATTAGATTCATTAATATTTTTTAAAAAACCTTGTTTATGAAAAATCAAATTCTTATGAGAATTTTAAAATATTGGAAATCTTCTAAATTCTCTAATATATCAATAAAATTTTAAAAGAATTCCTCATCTAAAAATTTACATATAAATTCCTATATGTAATGTTCTAATAATTTTATAATTGAGAGATTCAAAATTAATTTTTTATGAGACAAAAAAAATGAAGTACATCATCATTTGATTATTTGAAAATCCTCTAATATGTTAATAAGATTTTCATTCAAAAAATTTTTTTAATATGTTGATAGGATTTATAAAATTTTTTTTTTCAAAGCATTGTTTTTTTAAATCAATAAGATTTTCTAATATGTTGATAAAATTTTATTTTAGACTTTCAAAATAATAAACCTTTCAATATATTAGTAAGTTTATTTCTAAAAGTCAATTTATTCTTCAAATTTCATTTTTAAATTATAAAACTCTCAAATATATTGGTGAGATCTTCATTCTTTTCAATTTTGCTTTTATTTTTATTTTAAAACCTTGCAAAATTATTTTTAAAACTTTAAAACCCTCTAATATGTTGGTAAGGGTTTTTACTTCCACAATCATTTTTATTCAAAACTTACCAATATATTGATAAAAGTTTTTTATTTTCTAAATTTTTTAAAATATTATTTGTAAGTTAATAACAAATTTTAAATAAATAAATAAAATTAAAAAAAAAAACCTTAATTTTTTATCAACTCGGCTCAATTGAAAAAATACTTGGCTCAAGACATGGAAACGGCTAGTAGCTTGCTTTGCAACTAAACTGAGGAAGGATCTCCGGGCTTTTGAGTCATGGCATCATGGGTCGAGTCACCGTGGGTTCACATGAGGATCCTCCAAGTTCAGTACGATGTCATTTCTTCCTTGCATAAATAACACAATTTTTTTCTTTCAAACTTTCCTTTTCCCCTTTCTCTAGATTAGCTTTCTCCCGTTTATCTCTAAGATTCAAAGAACACAAAAGCATCAACGTCAGAGTTTGTAACCTATCGCCAAAAATTGAGGAATCTCATCAGAATATCATATGAAAATTCAGACTTTGTCATGATCTTCGTTAAGATATGAAGTTGTCGAAAAACTGAGAAGCACGTGGATAATGGACCAAGAATTTAAATTACACCGAAAATTTTCATCGAAATCCGTAAATTCTTCAAAATATTCAACGAATTAAATTTGATCTCTCAATCCCGTTTATTTATGAATTTTCTTTAAAATTATGTTATAAAAATTAATTTTATTTGAATTATTTAAAATGAATCTCAATTTATATATAATAGAATATCTCAATTGAATTTGAACTTAAATAAATTTAAATGTGTAAATCGAATTTAATTTAATCTAATCTGTTAATTAAGCTCAATGTTAATGCCCAAGATCTAAGTCCAATCGAGGTCATATTATTTGATTTTATTAATTAAAATTTTATCTGAAAATCTAAAAAAAAAAATAAGAAGAAAAACAAATAAAATAAAATAAAATAAGAGGACATAGACATAAACTGAAGCTTGGTGTCGTGCCCCCCTACCCTGCACCAGTATTCACCAAGGCCAAGCCAACCTAGCACTTTTTCCACCTTACCCATCAGCAACCACCCTACAACCATCTTTGCAGTTGAATTTCAGGTACCATCAATTTACCAAAGACAAAAAAGGGGAGTCCCCAAGTTTCAAAATCACCTATCATCCTAAAATTATCCCTCCAATCATTCTTTAATACATTGTTGAATTATCCATGGCAAAATTAATTGGGGATAACTTTTATATTATGTAATAGATATTGTCCTTTGTAACTTTTTATAATAAGATTAAAAAATAATTTTCATTAAAAAAATAATTTAGAAAGACAATAACACTTACTTGTTAATAAAAAGTAACATCCAATAATATGGTCATTAATCAAGCAAAGATAATACAAATCATATGGATATACAATAATATATTATAATGATAATAAATAACATTTATAATAACAATCATCTTAATAATATGAATCATGATACACGATTATTTTAAATTATAAAAGTTAAAATAAAATATTATATATATGAAATTAAAAATAAAATATATTATAAATAATATTTATAATGATAAAAAAATTATATAATTTATACAATATTACATAATATAATATTATTAAAATGTAACTTATCTACGTACAACAATCATCAAGAAGGATAAATTACAGATTTTTTTTTAACTTCGAAAATTTTACAAAATCTAAGTTCGGCTTGCTTTTTATCCTATAAATTATGATCGGCTCTCTCAGTCTGTCTCTCAGAATATGAGTCAAACCTTGGTGCATGCTTAGAATGCTCATGGTCACCTCTACAAAGTCAAGCAAGATTTGAAAAAATATATGAAAGATATTAACTCCCTTATGGAGAGCGCCCAAAAGTGCAAGATCTCTAATAAAGACACACAATAAACTTAGAAAAAAGGTTGAGAGTTTGTCCCAACAACTCGAAGACATATCCATCCAAAAAGCCACTGCTGAATTTCATCATCAGCAATTCAATCTCAAACTGACGGCTGCTTTAGCTGAAGTATAATGTCTGAAAAATGAACTTCAAGCTTCCAAAGAAGCTAAGCAGTGAATTGTAGAGAACTTCATTTAATCCACAACTTCTACAATATGCATACAAACTTTGCTCGAAATAAGTGTTCGTCTTTTTTTACTTAGAGTTGAAGAGGTAAACTTTATATATGCCGACCTCAATCTTTCCGTGATCGATATCAACAACTTGAAGACCCAACAAGATATTACCGAGAAGGAGTACCAAGGTGATGAGTAGCTACAACAGGATAAGGACGATATGGAAAATGATCAAGTTTCTGCTGTGGTTGGAGCTGACCAAAAGGAAGGGCAGGCTGTTGGAAATCCTGAGGCTTAGATTGGGAAGCCTAAGGTACTTGTTGTTGAATCCCAGCCTGAGAGAGTCCTGACCAGCCCTTTAGGCAAAATTTTTGAATTTATTTATGTTTATATTTTTTTTTGTTTTTTAAATCATGTAATCATTCATTATTATTAATGAAATTTAGTTTTATTCTCCATTTACATCTTTAAGCTCAATATTACTTGATTTAATATAACTTTCTTGATGATTGTTGTATGTTTAATTCTAAAAAATAATACTCAACTTATTATTTTAGTATATATGTTGAGATTATAACTTTACTTTTTTTTGTTATGCAATGGTACATCCAATTTACCACTTGATAGATAAATGGACGACATGATTTTTTAATAAAATGATACAATAATCAGGGACGAATATACAATGAGGGAGTAGGGCCAAGTGCCGCCTTGAAATCCTAAAAGTTTTTAGATTTACTTTTAAAAAAAAAAACCACTCACAAGTTTTAGAAATTTAAAATTTTGCCCTCATTTGTAGAAAAACAAATAAAGTGGCAAAACTGCAAAATGAAAGGATAAAAAAGCATAGATTAAAAAAATAGAAGGGAAATGGATTTTATGTGAGCTTGGTAAGAAAGAAAAATAAGAGAAAAGAATATAAAAAAAATTTTTATCATTATCCACACTCATTAACAAAAAAAAAAAATCACTACAAATTACAGAGAAAAAAAAAAAGAAAAAATTCAATAGGTGTGAGCATTTATTACATATTTACAAAATTGTCAATTATATTTAAAATTTTTTATCTTAATTTTCAAAATGTTATAATGATAAAATCATGTAATTTTTACTTTCTTTCCTTTCATTTTTCAACTCTATCAAGCAATTGATGGAAAGAAAATCATTTTTTTTCAATTTTCTATCTTTCTAACCAAGGATTTAAATAATAATCGCAGTCAGATTTTCAATCGCATCGTGTTTATCACGTTTTCAGATATAACAAAGATCAATGTTGTTATTGCGATCATTGAGGTCGTGATTTTTTTTTCGCATAATTTATTATAAAATGTAATAATTATAATTATAAAAACAAGTATTCAATTATTTTAAAAATAGTTTATGACACTTTATATTTTTTATTTTCTAAAAAAATTATTTACAATCTTATTTAGATTATAATAAAGCATTCATATTTGGTTTATCCATAAATTTTTTCTTGGCTAAGTTCATATTCAATATTAATTCTAGACAAATCAAATATTAATAAAACATAATATGTTAAATACCAAGCATTTATATTTTAATAATTTTCAAACTTATATTTTTTATTTTTTAGTTTTTAATCTTAATAAGAGTAATAGATCATAAAACACTAAATTTATTAAGTAACTTAATCTTTTTTATACACTAATTGATATAAATTTTTTTACCAAAAATTACTTTCAATAATTATATAATAAATAGAATCTTCAATAATTATACAAAAATAATAAGAATTAATCTAATATCAAAAAAATTGACAACAATATAAATACCAAAACAACAAAAAAAATTTAAATTTCAAATATAAAATCATAAATTAATATAAACAAAATTAAAATATAATATTTAATTTTAATTATTTTTCATCTAACTTATACAAAAAATTTATCAAAATTTTTCATTTAAAATCTCTATATATATTATATTAAATTATTAATCCATTATTTTTTTAATTATAAATTTTTAAAACCTCTAATTAAATTTTATCTAAAAAAATTTTAAAAATTAATTATCCCTCCGACCAACAGCCCCACCCCTACTCCATCCCACCCCACCCAATCCCCCATCCACCCATGTGCCTTAATATCCCCCAATTTTGTCTAATCATAACAGACTCAAGCACTCTCTTCTGTTTGTCTTCTTCATGCTTCTTCTGGAGCTTGGCTCTCGAGAATCTTCTTCTTATCTCCCTTTTTTTTTCATCTCTTATTTTCTCTCACATCCCTTTATCACTATTACTTACCTAGTACCTATAGAATACCTCATTTGTCTCTTTCAAACTCTCACAAAGATAGATATCATTTTACAAAAATTTTACAAAAAGAAAAGTAATTTAACTTCCTCTTCTTACCTTTTTTAATCTTGAATGTTGATTGAGAACTTGATGCTGATTTGAATTTGAATAATTTACGAATTGAGCTAAGGTTGCTGCCAAAGTGCCGATTGAATGGGTGATAAATAATTTATCTGTTTCTAACTAGTTTTAAATTGATTTTGATACTGAGGACCTGAGATTTTGAGTTTTATTTTTTGCTTTTGTTTTTACTTTTACTTTTACAAGCTTATTGCTTTTATTCTGACAGTGCTGAAATTTTGTTTATTTTTTAATTGTTGATCCATGAGTAGAAAAATGAGAATAGCAGTAATAACAGTCTGTTATTATCGTTATTTCCTATTATGCCATTATTCTACGATCGTTATGCAACGTTTTGACTGTGAATGAATTTTTCAACCGCATTTCCTTCAATAGCAGTGGCGAGTGATGGCGTTATCACAATTTTATGATTGCTATTTCGCTATTAAACCGCTATTTGAATCATAATTTCTAACCAAGCACACTAATAAAAAAAATGTTTTTCCATCTTTTCACTTTTCTTTTCTTCCAACTTTTCATCTTTTCATTTTTTTATACCTTACCAAACAAAATCTAAATATTCATACAAATAACATATAAAGTGTGAATTAAAAAAAAAAAAAAACCATATTTAACTAACATACCATCTTTCACTAATATAGATTTATATTTTCATTTTTTTTTGTCAGGTTTTCATTGTATATGAGAAAATGGATATATATTGTTCTCCACATTACAATGAATAAGAAATGAAATGTATTTTTTACTAAAAGTAAATGATAAAATTTGACAAATTGATTTTTATTTGTTTCACATATTATATCTTTAAGAATTTTATAAATAAAATTTTATTAAATTAATATATATATATGCATATATGTGTATACACGTGTATGTATTAAAAGATGATTTATCTATGATATAATAGTATTTACGCTATATTTTTAAAAAACCGTATAATTAATTTTAGCTTTACAAATATTGTTTACATCATAAAAAATTTTTGTTATACGTGTTAATTTAGTTTAAAATTTTTATATTAATTTGTATTTTAATAAAAATTTAATAAATTAAATTTAAATATTTATCCCCACTAATAAAAAATCCTAAATCTATCCATGATGATAATTATTAAATTTAAAAATTAAAAAAAATGAGTGGAATAAGTTAAAAGTAAAATAATAACATGACATAAAGAAATGAATTTAAATCAATAATATTTTCTTTCTTATTCTTTCCTCTTCTCCTTTCATGGCTGCTAGCAGTAACATTGCTGGCAAACTCAAACGAGATTAGCTTAGAGCCCGTTTGTTGCTTGGGAGGGGCTCCAGTGCAATTTGGCTGGAGCCTCAACTGCATTAGACCCTCGTGTGGCAACATGATGTGGATTATTTTCGCCACGCTGCACCCCGTTTAGCAATTGGAGCTGACTGAAACCTAAACAACTTCCAAGTTTGACGCTTCTACTCAAAAATGGCTTCTCAATGGTAATCCAATAGTGTGCATGTTGCGACAAGAAATATAATCTGCAAAGATGGAAACTTGTCTTTCATCTGTTATGCCAGTCGAGATATGTAAACACATCGAAATTATATCTGTAAATTGTGGAAACTATTAATAAATTATTCGTACGAAACTTTTTCGCTGAAATGTTTGGCTATTCTTATGCTTACAGGAGTAAGGCTGTGACTTTGTATCACGGTCAATTTGTGGGAATCACCATTATTGAGTCGTTTCTTAGTGGCTTGGTCAACAGTTCAGCAAAAGCAGCACATTTTATCACAAAGGCAGTGAGCTTCGTTGTGTTTTTTTTTTTTTCTTTTAATTTCCCAATATACAATAAGATGCGCGCAAACTTTAACCTACACAGCCAAGTCTAAGGAATGGGATATGCGCTTTACAATTTTATTTTTCTGTTTCCTTTCATGGAATGCATAAAATTTTCTACCTGGTAATACACAGGAAGCTTATATTACATTTTGAAATGGGCAAGTTTTCCAATGATATAAACATGTATTGGAATCAAAACTTATAATGAAGTACAAGAAGCAAAATGGAATTAATGCCGTAATATTACAAGTTCACAACTCATTACTGCAAGGAAGACCAATCCATAATAGAATCCTTCGTGGCCGATCTAGAAATCTAGCTTGCCAAGCAGGCTCATCGTTTTCGTGAATGAAACCACTTTTCATGTACAAATTCTTTGCAGGCTCATTGTCAACGGTAACATGGACGTATAGATCAGTTATGCCTGAAATAATACAAAAACAAATTTGTATCAACAAATTTGGCAGCAATACTAATCAACACGACAACATGGATGAGGTTTTGACTATGGGTTCACATCATCCCCTAGGGCAAGGTTTGCTTGCCTCAAATGCAATTAAAGAAACAGAGGCATTTATTTGATGACTTCAAGTTCCAACAACAATATAACAAACGATATATTCATGATTAACTTAAACTGGTGCCTGAAAAAATTCAGTATGCTTGACCTGTAGGCTAGAGTTGCAAGACTAGAAAGGTGTCCAAACTGAAAAAGTTCAGAGTTCTATCAGTGCTAGTTATTTTGTCTGGAAAGATGCGATGCCCTCGCAGAAAAAATATAGAAGAACCTTGTGCTCTATGCTTATATTTGAATAGCAATGCAGGATAGAATGCCAAAGAGCAAGAATGCAGGAATCCCCTTATTTGAAGAAAATGCATGCTAATGGTTTAGTCTTGCAGTCAGACATTCATAGGAACCAAAACAGATCAAAGTTATATCATTATTAATTCCTTTCAATTTCCTCAGATAAAGCTATTGCATTCATGTATACTAGGATAAACATAATTAAATAAGGAAAATGTGACTGAAAATCAAGGAGATTAACCTTCACTAGCTCATTTTAACTTTACATGAAGATGAAGGTTGGATTCTGCTGTAGTCCTGACAAGTCTCCAAGGCCTCCCCACCCAGTGGCTTGGTAATAGTGCCATTATACTATTACCATTGAGAGATAGCCTTTGACATAAAAATTGTTATGTAATCCTTTTTTTTTTTTTTGTGGAAAAACAAAAGGTCAAACAACATGACCCTAAAAGACAGGACCGTACCGACAGTCAACGCACTTCCATATGGTGCTTTAACAGGGTAAATTTCTAAATGACCGAACCAAATAGCCCAAGTTGGTAATGCATTTAGTCTCTTCCACTTTGATGCAAAAATTCATAATTTCATTTTCTTTAGCAACAATCAGACTGTCCAGGACAATTGTTCAATCAATGCAAGATGATTATGACAGGGACAAAACGATCATAACAGATAAAACGCAAAAGATGCTGTTACCCCATTTTTCAGCAACTCTCTTTGACTTTGAGACAATTTCATAACCTAGGCCATTTCTGTGCAGTTCCCTTGCAACACATACGTTGCTCAAGTATGCTCTTGCAAAATCAGCCTCAATCCCCTGTCAAAACAGACTCCAAATATAGATCATGTTACTAAATAAATCCTTTTGAGAATAGAAACTACACCAAATCTTATAGTATGATAAAGTTCATCCATGTTATTCTTAATATATATATATATATATACATAAAAATATTGTGAACTAAGTTATCTAGAACGTAAATTAATAGACCATAATGGTGGGTAATTTTCTTTTCCCTTTAGTTTTAAGTGGATTCAATAAGAATTCTAGACTATATTACTCAAACTCGGAAGAAAGTCGAAAAAGAAAATGTGCCAACATGCATACATTCAATCCTTTCTTAAGTTTTTCTATTTATTTGGAGGGTCCGAACTCCATACCCATGTCTGCCAGATGTGTCAGATATGGATACTACAAGAAAAATAAAGAGTGAAGCAACATATTTCTAGAAATTTTTCGTACTAGTTTCATATTATTTTAGTTAGTTAGCTATCTTATTCTACAAGAAATTCATTTCTAGGAAAGATTTCTTATCTTTATCATTGAGCCCTTAAGCATTTCAATAGGATCAATTATTTCTCAGGCTCAAAACACAAACAATACACAAATCAGATCATGCAATCCACTACAAAAGTCATAAGGTGACTGCAAATTGTTGTGGAACATGCCAATCTGGATACATTATACATAGCCTCACCTAAATCATAAATAAGTATGCTCCCGTTTTAAGAATAATTAAGAAGCCTTAGCACCAAAAAACTAAATAGATAACTAAATAAGCACATAGATAACATCGGAAAAGATCTTGGTAAATGATGAAATACCTCTGGTTTTGTTCCAGCTATTTCTTCTGGAAGCCAAAGACATTGGTTAAGATCAAGGGATCCAACTACTACTCTATCCTCTCCATTGTCAGCAAACTACAGAAAAATCAGGAAAAAACAATAATGTAAAGAGTACGCAAACAAACAATCAAGAAGACATTAGTTTCTCTAAAACTTCTGCAGCCACGTATCATATTAAAAAAATTGGGCATTACTTTACAATGGAGATTATAACTGATAAAAGAACATTGAAAAGCCTAACACCCTCCTTTTTGCAAAATCATAATTTCGAAACACAGAGACTTTGTTTCCTAATATAAACCATCAGAGTACTGAATTACTCACAAAAGAACCTATAAAAGAGAAATTAACTAGAACATAAATATACATGAAGAGACCTGCCCAGTGTCAGCAAGATCACTACTACAGTAACTTGGGATCTCTCAGCTATCTAGGATTATGTGAAACTAAATAAATAAACAAACAAATGCATAACCTAAAAGTCATAACAAGGGTAAAAAAGGATGAGTGTTTTTTTTTTTCTTTTTTTCTTTTAAAAAAAAAAAAGCAATCAGAGATTTGTTGTGAAATAGAGAACCATATGCACCTATTAGAATAATTGTGGCTGATGAATATCTAAATTAGAGGAAATCATAAAAAATTAGCATCTTCTTGTTGATATAACCAACTAAGCAACAATTCAAATCTATAAGCCAAATCATAAACCATTAACAAGGAAATGATAGTAAAACCAGAATCAATACAATCAGAGAAAACAACTGGACCAGTAAAGAAAAAATACTTCTTCAGAAAGAACCTAAATGGATACGCATCCAGGTACAAACGCCATTTGTTATCCTTGCTAAGGTTTTTATTGTCCAAACTCACCCAGGCAGAGCAGGAAGCTAAGGAACTCAAGATTGATTAAGAGCTGGTTGGACTCATCTAGAAAAGAGGATCTAAGCATATACAAAGTTGTTTGAAAAATCCAAGTCTTGCCATTTCCTCTGTTAAAGCAACCATTTCCCTCAAGTTTACTGAACCAAAAAATTTATGATGCAAGGTAAAAGTTCCCCTCAATGGATTTTACTGCATGTCGAAAATGAAGAAATAAGCCAAACTATACTCAAGTTACTATTTAAAGAAGATTTGAGATTATCCTAAACTGTTTTTATTTAAAACATTTGTGCCAGTCATAAAGAGAGCTAATCCTTTTCAATTCTTTTTCCCTCATAACCCTTTCATATTGGCAGAGATACCATTTGAACTTGAGTTCAAATGAGAAATATCCCTTTCTGCACTGTTCTTGTAGTTTCTCCACATTGCTAGATTTCTTTTTCTTCTGATAAATCATACTTTTCGGAATAATGCCTCTAGCTCAATTTGATTTGATTCCAAAGACACAAATCTAAAACTTGAAGCATTGCTCTTTGCTAGTGGCTGTCCACTAATGACAAAAAAGACACCCCATATTGAGTTTCAAGGCATGTCATGCCTCAGATTTTTCTCAACATCATTATAACAGAGATTCTCCTGAGAGAAATCTATGACACCTAGCATCTTGTCGCAAGCCCTAAAGAAATCAGTATAAATGCACTAATATGCCAACACGAAATTTGAAAGTCGAAGCACTGTAAGCAAAAATAAAAGAATGCAAAACAAACCTTACATGCAGCACATAAATCATCTGCAGAGCTTGACAACTGTGACAATGGAAGCGTAGCATTTATGCAAGAGACTCTTTTAAAGCCCTCCCTCTTCCCAGCAATTCTTTCCTTTAGTGCTTCGAATTCGCGTTCCGCCAGGTACCTTTTATGATCCTAATACTTGAAAATGACAAAATACCATTAGTATCATATTCAGGAGGAAAGGAGACAGAAAAATTGAAATCCTTCAGGAGACATTTTTCTTCTTTGTTTCTTTGTCTTTTATTTTTGATAAATTAAAAAAAAAAAAGCTGCAGTAGGAGGCATTCGGCAGTTTCAATTCCGGAGGAACTCAGTTAATCACAAATATGACAATGGCAATGACCAAAAAAAAAAAGAACTCTATCTTTCTGCTATGAACGATATAACAAGAAACTCCCTTTTCAGTTCTTACAAGCATCAAAATCTACAATCCTTGAATGCTTCAATAACTTCTAAAATGCCCTAAAACAAATTACTACCAAATTTTTAATCAAACAATTAACATTCTTGCGTTGACCATATTTTATGCCTCCCCAGTGAAAAACAAAAACACCCAAAACTTCTTTCTTTTTCTCTTATTTTGAAAAAAAAAAATGGAAATCTCACTTGGATGCCATAGGAGGAGTCTTGGAAGTTATAAAAGGAACGAACACGGAGACAAGCAGCTGCCCAAAGCTGGTCTTCCGACGCTGTTTCAGCAACGATGAGCGAAGACTTGTCAATAGGAGTGGACTGTTGCTGACGGTGAGTTGTGGTGGCGGCTGCGACTGCTAGGAAACGGAACGGGTGAGCGGTGGTGACGACCACGGAGGATTGGTGCCAGGAAGAGAATGAAATGGAAGAACAACGATAAGAAAAAGAAGGCTGAGGAAATGAGAGGAGTGCCATCTTCGGATTTTTCGTTTTTTGGTGGGATTATCCTTTGTTAAATTTCGTGGGACATACTAGAAATAGGAATTTAACTTTTATGTTTTATGGATTATGGTAAGGCTTCTTTTTTTTGAATTGTTGATAGAATTGAAATCATCCACTTTGTTTCACAATCATTGTCCCTTGCATGGTCGGTTCCAGCCTTTCCAAGTCATCTGGATTTTTTGGGGTACGAATATCCTCAGGTTTGGGCTAAGCCTGAGGGAAGATCATGACTTTTACAACTGTCTGTAAATAAAGGAGTCAAACTCTTAAACCTACAAGACTGGACCGTCGTTGTAGCCTGCGGATCCTATATGGGCATATGGCTTCATTACTGAAACACTCCACCATGGCTTGACTTGGTGGCCCATTTCTCAGCTTGGGTCAGGCCACTCTGAGCAGAGCCAAGCACTACTGTACATAAAGGTGTTCAAAACCCTGCCCAAAGCGTATAGATTGCGTATCCAAACTCCAAATCTATTCGAAAAATAAAGGGTGAGCTCGCAGGCCTAAAGAGGGAGGGAGGGTCGAGTCTAGACTAACAAGTATTAATTAATGCATCTTGCTCTCTAATAAATAATGTTATTCCCTGCTTCCTCTCTAAAAGCCACCTTTGCTTGACCTCTTCTTTCTTTCCAGTTTTAGCCTTGCAGCTAATTCACTCTTCTATACTTTGATCAGTTTGTCCAATTTTCTTAAACATATTCAATAATGAATATCAATTAAAGTTTTTGTCATGATTACTTATTAAGTTATATGGTGTCAATTGACAAATACTACAAGGCAATGCAGCTGCACTTTCTGTCCAAATGCCTCTAATCTTATAAATAGTCCAAGCAAAAATGGAGGGCAAATGGGCAATAAATATGGGGAGTTAATCCTCCCACCTACCCTTTCACTGAAGAAAACAATTAAAGTGGTATACTGCAGCCAGTACAGGGACCAAAACAACAGATGGTGCATTATTACCCCTAATTACAACGATGCAAATCTTGAAATTGAGATGGAAAGGGAGACAGGGAAAGATCAGATAGCTTTAATTTGTAAGATGGAATAAGCTAAGGCTCACACATGTGGGAGGAAGAGGGGGGGGGGGTACCCCCAGGCCCCAGAAGCTGTACCTAGCACTTTTATGGGGTGATAGTACTGTTCCTGTTGCAGCTACTAGATTATGCTTTCAATCTTTGCTTTCTTACGTAGGCGATTTTGTTAGATGAAAAGAGAGAGAAACAACAAAGCCAAAACCAAAGATGTTTGAGAGAGAGAGAGAGAGATGGAGACTGATGACTTGACCATGTCTTGTCACATCGTAAAAGTTGTGATGATTACAAAGTGTTATAGCTATGGCAGGGAGAGATCCCCACCCTGATCACCCACTCTCCACTTTTTCCCCAGTGTTTACCACTCTGTAGTCTCTTGGACCCTTCCGGGGACTGATGACAGATCAAATTCCATCGTCATCTGATTTGAGAATTGCAGGGCACCTGGTTTAGTAGGAGCGTGGAGCCTAAAGTTTCCCTCTTACAGTATAGTCTGCCACCCTGGAATAATTGCTCCTTCCTATTGCCATGCTTCAAAATTTGAAGCAAAGACTTGCCAATAAACCCTAGTTCCTATTCTAAGGCAAATGACCTGAGGCTGGCAATGAAAATACAGAAGAAAGAAACTAGTGTATTATCATTGATCTGCCTGTGACCAGCTCGCAAAGCTGTTTTATGTATTTTATCACCCAAAAATAAAAGAACCAAAAGATCTTCTTTGCCAGTCTATCTAATATTGGTTTTTGTGTGTTGGTAAGTCATTCCAAAACTCGTATCCTCACCTTTGAGAACCTCAAAACACTGCCTGCCCATTGACAAACATCAACTCTTACTAGTTGCAAAAGGTTTTTTTTTCCTTGTTTTTGCGAAAATTGTCTTCTCAGTAGAACGAAATGTGTTGAGAGACAATTAAAGGTGCATTTGAATTTGGTTGGAGTGTCGGTACAATGTAATTGGAGTGCTTTTTTATCTACTCCTGTTGCGATTTGCCATTTAGCAAACAAAAGACCAATACAATTGATGCACTTTAAACGCATTGAAGATCAAATAGACTGAAGCCTTATGGGTTCAGTGAAAAGTTTTGATCCCATGACACTCATTATTTTCAAAGATACCCATGCTTTCGCATTTTTTTTTAATCCTTGGAATTACCGTATAGTAACATTTATGTCCTTGTCACTTAACTTTTAGTTTTTTATTTCTTTTTTTATTTAAATTTGTTTATATAACTTTATTAATTTAATATAGAAAAATATAATATTATAATTATCTAATTAATTAATTATCTAATAAATTAATTAATAATTAACTTATTTTCTAATGAAACTATTATTTAATATAAAAATATTTTTATAATTTCATAAATTTGAAATATACTAAAAATTTCATTACGTACAAACTTTATTTTAGTACCATTAATAGTCATTTTTTTTTTTGTATATTTCATCTCATCATCATTATTACGTTTGAATCCAAACAAATATCACACCACTGATTTTAATCTCACAATTAGAGTAACTCATCTCACTGTTATTGTTATTTTTAATCTCATCAAAGGTAATCTCACCATTCATCAAAATAAAACCTAATAAGAAAATTGGAACACACTTTGAAATATTGAATTAAGTAGCAAGTGATGATAGATAGTGAAGTAAGATTGAACAAAGAGGAGATAAGGCTGAATTAGGGATTTGAGAAAAGAGAATTGTAGAGAGAATTTGAAAGAAAATTGAATGAATTTGCCAAGGTATCCAAAAAATCTCTCAATGAGTTGTGGAAACTCTTATTTATAAGTTCTAAGAATATAAGTTACATATTTTGAGTATTAAACTGAAATAATGATGGAATTGATAGTTACAAAATATGTTAATGCATTATTTAATAAGAATTTAATTAGTTTTTGGTAATAGGAATAGTAAACATAAAAGTTCACTGTTTATTTTAAAAGAAAAAAAAAAGCACTCATACTTTGAGAAAATTTAAGAGGAGACCTCTTAACTATCTCCATATCTAATCCACCTAGCCAAACTCTCTAAAATATTCTAATAGTGAAGTTAACCAAAAACCCTATCATATTTTGGGATTATTTTTACTTCTTTTCGGTAAAATAACATTAAATAAAGCATCTTTTATAGAATAACTTTTAGTGAAGCAACTTTCAATGAAAGAGTTTTTAGTAAAGGTGTTGGTGTTTTTTCTTGAGAAATTGTTCCATGAACAGTTATTTCTTAAATAATTATTCCATGAACAACTGTTCCGTAAAAATATTGTTTTATAAATGAGTGATTTTTTGAATAGTTATTCCATAAAGAGCTATTTTATAAATAGTTATTTCGTGAACATCCTTCAGTGAAATAATCTTATTATTTGTTCTAAATTACCTTTGTTATGTATATGATACTGTGGTTCTTGTAAAATGACTTTTTAAGGCGTGTGGTTTAAGAAAAGTTATATTATTGACTGAAATCTTAGTTTTTATAATTTGATTCCTTAGTTTAATTCACAAAATTTGATTCCTAAGGTATTATAAGATTCCCAACAGTGTCCCAAATGGAGGTGACATCTTAGAATTAGAAAATCACATCTTCCTAAGATAATTTAAGATTCCTAAAGGAAAATAAATTTTATCTCACTTTTAACCTCAATAATTTATTAAGGTCTATTTTACCCTTAAAAATCTATATAATTGCAAGATAGATCGAAACATCTTCGAACACGAAAAGCTACATTTTTAGCCATATGATTAGACATCTAGCAATGATTAGACACGTAGTAGATTAATTATCAACGTTTTTAAAAGAAAAAAACATAGTAGATTTTTTCAAATTTAAGATTTTGAATTTTTTTTATTTTCAAAACACTACATTTTTTACATATGAAACATAGTTGATTGTTTAAAATAATCACAAAATAAATTTGATATTTTTAATATCAACAATATTTTTTTAGTATGGTAATATAGTAATAGATAAAAATATTTATGATAGAATATTTATGATATTTTAAGTACGTTTTTATGTCAAAAATACAGTATTTGATAAAAATAAAGTTTTTCTCTACATCAATAACTATGTTTCTTGTTATGAAAATGTAGTTATTGATAAACCGTAGTAATTGATCACCTAAAAACGTAATAACTGACAATGATCACGTTTTTTAGTTTCAGAAGCACTTTTGTTTTTAATATATCAAACGTAGTTGATCTTTTAAAATAATAATAAAATAAATTTGATATTTTTAATATCAACGTTTCTTAATATGCAAACATAGTAATAGATAAAAATAACGTTTTTATATAAAAACATAGTTATTGTTGGTTTTATCAATATAGTAGAATATTTATGAAGTTTTTAACTATGTTTCTTATACAAAAAACATAGTATTAAATAAACCACATAGTTTTTAACTATGTGGTTTATATCTTTGTATCAATAACTATGTTTCTTGTTATGAAAATGTAGCCATTGATAAATCGTAGCACTTAATCACCTAAAAATGTAATAACTGGCAATGATCATGTTTTTTAGTTTTAAAACATCATTGATAATAGAAAAAAAATAAACTAACAATTGAACATGACATCAACCACATTTCCTTTTCAGACAATATCATAGAGCTCTAGTCAAACTCTAGATTGTAGCCTTTCTGTTTCACATAACATCACCTTTCAGCTTTGTGATTTCATTGTTATTTAGTTCATTATAACTTATCTTTATCATTATAAGGTTAGTCCACTCTCTGTTTTATACGATTTTTTTATATTATTTGTTTACATCAGATGTCTTCTTGTTATATTTATTATCATTACACGTCGTGCTAGTTAAATGCAACATTTTTATTATTTGTTAAACATTACATTTACAATGGTAGAAACATCGTGTTTGTTTAAAGACAGAGTTTATTAAACCAAAATGTCACGGTTGTTTATTTGTCAAACACTATATTTGTAATCCTAGAAATTTAGTGTTTGTTCAAAGAATACATTTATAAAACTAAAAATGTTATGCTTGTTTCTAAACCAAAATGCCGTACTTGTTTCTTTATCAAATATTGCATTTATAATGATAGAAACATTGTGTTTGTTATTTATTATAGCGTTTATATAATAAGAACGTCATGCTTGTTAATTTTTTTTTTATTCATCAAAGATAGTGTTTATAATAACCAAAAGGCCATGTGTTTTTTATTATATTCTTTATTTTTTGTTCATAATATACGACTTTATTTTTAACATAATGAAAAAATAAAAACCTTCTTTATTTTTGTTGTTTAATGGTTGTCACATGTTATTTTTAATAACATAATTGGGAGTTGAAATGTTTGTCACGTATTATTCACATGTAATAAAAAACACTATGGTAAAAAGCTTTTATTGCGTAATCTAAGATTTCATGAACTAAACACAAGAATCTAACATTTTCATGGTAGGAAAAATCACTC